GTTTACTCGGCAAGACATCGCATCTTGTGCCTACATATCCTTACGGGAATGGAATCAGAGTAACTGTAGTTCCCCTCAAAAGGGAGGTTAGAAACGTCTTGACTGTGGCCAAGGTTTCAATGGGGAAGTAAGCACATCTTAAGGATATGCTTAGTGGAGTTCAGAGACTCCAATCTCTATGTTAAAAAAATGTTAATTAAAATTAAAATAAGGTTAAATTAGGGATTCCACGGCGGGAAACCTTAAAACAGAGTACGACGACTATTTTGGCCTAACACTAGGATAAAAGCAATTTTGCCCGCGGCGGGACACCTAGGCTAAACAGGGTTTGATCCATTAAAGGGGTAAGGCTATTGACTCGGCGGCCAAAAGGCTGGACCTAATCCTTCGGAAGGATAAAACTATAAAAAAATGTGAAAATATGACAAATCATTATATGGAGGAATAATTAAGGTACAGAAATAAGAAAAGTAATAAAGGCAGAGGGTATAAAGAAACAAAGAAACATTTCTGAAAACATGAAGAATATGAAAATATGTAATGACACTTAGAATGAAGTGAGGGAGGAAAATAGCGTGGGGCTGTGGCCACCACAAGCACATCTCAACCTCGAGCATGCACATGAAATGCCAAAAGAAAGAAAAGTAATAAAAGGGTACATAAAAGGACACGACAAACATCAAACATCAGGAGTTCCTTACGAAAAGGTTTTAATTTTTTAATATTTTAATTATAAAAAAAAGGTTTTAATTTTTTAATAAAAAATATTTAAGTTAAAATTATAAAAAAAAATAATTTTAAATTATAAAAAAAGTTTTTGGAGGAAAAGTCTTTTCAGTTTTTTTAGAACAAAAAAGGCTTTTCATCCAAAAAAGGCTTTTCAGTTTTTTGGGAAAAGGCTTTTCAGTTTTTTTGGGAAAAGACTTTTCAGTTTTTTGGGAAAAGACTTTTCAGTTTTTTGGGAAAAGACTTTTCAGTTTTTTTGGGAAAAGGCTTTTCAGTTTTTTGGGAACAAAAAGGTTTTTTTCTTCTTCGGAACAAAAAGGCTTTTCAGTTTTAAAAAAGGATCTTACTAAAAAAGGTTTTAATAATAAATAAAAAAAGGGTTTTGATTTTAAAAAAAAGGTTTTGTTAAAAAAGGGTTTCGATATTAAAATCTACGGACCTAAACACACATAGAGATTAACATGGCAAAATATGCACATAAACATGAAAAAGCAAAAGGTTTAGTAATTTAACGGACCTAAACACATTAACATGGCAAAATACATTAACATGGCAAAATATGCACATAAACATGAAAAGGCAAAAGATTTAGTAATTTAACCTACGAAGCGGAGGTTTGCTTCGGTAAATGTGAAAAAGGTTTGAATAAGGGAACACTGGAGAGCTCCAATCCTTCTGACGAGTTGTGGGAACGACCGCCTTTCTTCTCTGGGGATCTCCTTTGTTTTTCCCTTTCTCTCTCCTCTTTTCTGAAGAAAACCTTCTGACCCCTTTTTCAACAAAGCAACACATGTATATATAGGGAACAAATTAGGGTTAACACCAAATTGTCAATAATGTCCCTAAAGCCCATTTTAAAGCCCAAACTAAATAATTAGTTAAGAAAAAAAATAAAATTTAAATAATTTAAAATAATTAAAATAAACTTAAAATAAAAACTAATAATCCTATTGATTCCTAAAATCAAAAATATTATAAAAAGAACAAAATTTTTTTCAATATTTTTTATTTTATAATTTTTTGGATATTTTTATGAATAATTTAGAAAAAAGTGAAAAAAATAATATTTTAAAAAATGATTTAATTAAAATACGAAAATAATAATTAAATAATAATAAATTTTTTAATGAAAGATAGAAAAATTTAGAGTAAAAATAATAAAACACAAAAAAGTGACAAAGGTGAGATTCGAACTCTCAACCTCTCACACTCACAACTCCTTACACATGTCCTTTTGCCAATTGTGCCATTTTTACTTTTTAGAAAAAAAATCCATGCCATATGATATTTACCTGCAAAAAGTCAAACGACTACACAAATTTGTTAGTAATTGATTAAATGCAATAAAAATACAATGAAGTGCGACGACAAATCTTAGGGCAAAATTTGGGGTATTACAACTAGTTTCCATATTGCTTAAAAGCTTTCCTATGTGAGCACTACAACTTCTTAGCATAAAGCTTTTCTTGTTATCCAACTAGCTTGCTAACATGCTTGTCAACCAGCTATGTTGCCAACATGCTTGCCAACTTCCTAACATTTGAATGAATCAAATGTTCTTCTTTTATAGTGTATTCAAGATAGTTGTTGTGAGGGTAGAGATGTCCTTTCAATATCCTAACGGTCATTTCCAACGGATAGAATAAGCACGCGTTGAATAGTATAGTGACATCACTTTCTTTGTCCTTTTCTTGTAACGTTAATATATCATTGTGGAAGATAACTCTTATCCATAAATGATGTAATCTTCATTTATCAGCTTGGACAGATCAGCTTCTGGCTTTGGTTCTTCTGATGATGTATCTGATGAGTAGTTCATAAACTAATTTGGTATGATAGCATAATAACATCAGAGTTGTTTGACTTCAGCACCTTGTTTATCAGAATGGATAGCAACAGCTTATTTGATTAACACGTCTTTGCTGGGTGAAGCTATATAATCTTCAATTTCAGAATCTAGTCTTCAGAGTCTTTCTGCACTTGGTCTTTAGAGCCTTCAACCTTCAGATCTTCAAGTCATCAGAGTCTTCAACACGTAGTTCTTCATAGGATTATATCTTCAGAGTCTTGATCTTCAGAACCCTTAAGTCTTTAGAGTCTTTCTACAATTGGTCTTCAGAGCCTTCAGCCTTCAGAGCTTCAAGTCATTAGAGTCTTCAGAGCTTGGTTCTTCAGAGGACTATATCCCAGATACGTTGTTAGCTTCCAGATCAGATACACATCTCAGAGCAGAATCCACAGGAGTATTGCAACCGCAATATACAGCATCCTTGGATCTTACTGATCGTGATCAAATATAGATGCATACTTGTATCTTCAATACGCTTTGTTTGCTTTCAGATCAGATGCACTTCTCAGAGCAGAATCTACAAGAGCATTACAATAACAATATACAACATCCTTGGATCTTTCTGATCGTGATCAGATACAGATGCAAACTAGCTTCTGCTATAAGACACGTCACACATAATAACTCATATAGAGTATTAAATGCACATCTTGATATTGTTTGTTTGATCTGATATCTTTATTTAACGTGATCTGCACATAACAAACATTAGAACATAAAATGGTTCTTTCATAAATAATTCATTGTTATCATCAAAACATGGAGATAACTTGCAAAGACAATTGTTGTTCTTACATAGTCTTGGGCCTCGCAATTTGGGCTTTTCCCACATTACCCTTACTAACTCCTCCAAATGCCCAAATTACCCTTATTCCTCTTATATTTATTTTAATTCATAATAATATTAATAAATCCATATTACATGCTATTATTCCAAAATAAATACTCCAAATATGCACAATTCCTCAATAATTCCCAAAACCACCGAAAATACCGAAAACACCAAAATACGAATATTCTCAATTAAATAAATTAATTAAAATATTCCGATTAAATTTGGGGTGTTACATTATCCATTTCACTTAAACCTGCATTGCCCATCATTTTTTTGCAAGTCTTCATATTCCTTTTCAGTCACTAGATTTCCTTCCATTATGTCCTGGGCTTTTGTTACATTATTGTAGTCCCCAACAACACACTAAGGTCCTTGGATGTTACCAGACAGGTGTTCTATTTCTTTCCATAGGATTCTTCTCTTGTTTAGTTGGTTATGAGCATATACATCAGTTAACCAATGCTTGAAATCTCCAAGGTTATCATAGATACCACAATGTATAAATTGGCTACTACTTTGTATGAATCTCACGTCCACCCTGTTACTATTTCAGTGAATCCATATTCTACCATTCGTATGGTCTTTGTAATTATCCACGTGCTTATCATATATCATCAGTTTCTCACAAATGACCTTGGCTTTAGCTTCTTTAGCTCTAGTTTCAATCAAAATGATAATAGCAGGCTTTAGCTCTTGGAGACGTGACCTAATCTCACGAATTTTGCCTACTTTATTGAGTCCCCTTATGTTCCACGAGACTAACATGGTTCAAGGTTTATGACCACTTGATGGTCATTCAAAACCTCAAGAGCTTCAAAACCATTGTTACAGTTGATGTTGCTATCAATATCAATCAAAATGCTCTTACCTTTATCTCGTACAAATTTTCTCACTCTTGTCCATGATTCACCTGCTTGCCCTGTTGTTTCCTCTCTTTCTGGTTGTTTTATGGGCGTGATATTCTTGGATGTTTCTGGTGGCTTGGGTTTTGGTTTCCATTGTTGAGTATGTCGTCGGTCTTCACATTTATGCCCCATTTTTTTGGCATGTTTCGCAGAATGTTGGCCTCCATTCATATTTCACATGCTGCATTATCACATCTCCTTCAACATTTCTGATGGCTATTTCATAAATCAATTGTTGTGTAATGTCCACTTCAATCAGTAGTCTTGCATATGATACACAGAGATTGTTCGCCGTGCACTTATCAGTCACCAACGGTTTACCAATGGCACTTCCAATCTTGCTAAGACTTTTTGCCCCCCATAGATGCAGGAGAAGTTTCACCCGTATTGGTAAAGTTCTTAGCAGATCCTTCTTTAGATTGAAACCATTTTGCCATTCCTTCAATATTATGGGCATATTTCGAATCGTGTATGGGCCTTTCATCATCACTGCTTCCTTGTCCTTCTGGGAGTTAAATCTGAGCAGAAAATATTCGTCATCGTGGTGGTAAAGATCTGGCATTTTCACGAAATTCCACATTCTCTGCATAAAGTTCTTCACCGTGTTCATACTCAAATCATCCCCTACAACATAAAGTATTAGAGCATTATCCCTAAATCGTATTTCCGTTTCAATATCTTCTTGTTAAATATCGATTTCAATCACTCCATTGACTACTTTTGGCGCAACGTATTCCACTGTCAGTCCCTTTGCAGGGTTCCGGTTGTCATTAATAATATCCACCCATAGTTTACGCTCCTCCGGTTGTGCTTGTGTCGTTCCTGTTAGGGTTTCTTTGTTTTCATTCTCGAGTGTGGTTGTCACCTCTTTATTAGTTCTTGCTCCAATCTCAGGTGTCTTTGAGCTAGTATCAGGTGGCGTGGTAGTTCTTGATTCAATCTCATGAGTCTTCAAGCTAGTGAGTGATTCCAGCGGCGGTGGCGGTGGCACCGTGGATTTCGGCCGCCCTCGTCCTCGTTTCGGTGGCGGTGACATATTTTTTTGAATAAAAAATTAATATTTTAATAATTAATAGTATATATTTGTTTGAGTGACCGATAAGCAAATAACAATTGAATTTTGATAGATGATACTTTTATGTTTTAATAAAATAAAAAATTATTAATAATATTATTATGTTCGTATAAAATTCTTAATACTTTAGTTTATTAATATTATATTTTATATGGTATAATATATTAAAATTGTATTCTAATTTTTGTTTTAATAATTCATAATTATTTTATTTTGATATTGATTTTGATTATCTATATCATTAATTTAGATTCACTTTATCATTTTTAAATTAAATTATAATTTGCTTCAATAATTTCATAATTGTCCTATATTAATGAAAACTTTGGATTATAAAAACTTTAGTATTATGTTACTTTTTAATATTTATTTATTTGATGGTTTTTTCATTAAAAAGATAGCATATGAAATACAATTATAAATAAGATAACAAATATATTCTTCTTGATTCAAATGTTTTTATATGGGTAAAAAGTATATTCTTAATCCAAATGTTTTTATAAATGACATAATTTTTATAAACAAGAAAAAAATTGATTATTAATTTAAATATTTTTATATGCGAAAAATTATAGGCACATGTATAATGTCCTTCTTACATTTCATTTTTTATATGTATTTTTTTTAAATTAATAAACTCTTTGATTAACAATTTTGTATTTTTATTATATTTTAAAAATAAATATGCATACCATACAAATATACCCGTACGTATGCACAAATTTACTATTACTTAAAATATAAAACAAGTTAAGATTTGAAAAAAAAAATTGTAGGAAGGTGTGAAAAATAATTTATTTTTTAGTATTTTTAAATACTTTTAGATCAACTCAGTGGCGGGGTCAGAAATTTAGGCAAGGGTGTAAAAGAAAATATAAATTAATTATTTAATATTTTTAATACAAGTATGAATATTTAAATAATTAAACTTTATTATATTTTCACAATAAAGCAATATGTAAATTTATCATTTTTATTAAAAAAATCCTCATTTTAAATCAAATAAATTGTTTTTATCAATTGAACATTATATAAGAATATTAATATTAAAAAGAAGCATAAAAAGTAAATTAATAATCCATAATTTAATACAATTTTCATAGTAGTTATAGATAGATGGTGTGGTACGGTAGAAATGTTAATCGATTTGTCCTATACAATTTTGATTTTTTTTATTGTGGAAACTTATAATAACATTTGTTTAGATAAAAAATGTAATGTTAGTTTAAAGAAATCATGAATTTTTAATTAAAATAAATTATAAAATATAAGTAAGAGTGTTTATCATTGAATAAAATAATATTTACTTACAGGAAAACATACATGGTTGATTAAAATATTTGTATATAAATTCAAATATATAAGTAATGTCAAAAATAAAACAATATATACAAAAAAAAAATACATTGTTGATTATACGGAAAATAATATTATTATTATCAATAGAATCAACTTTAATTGTTTCAAATATTGAATAATATCAATTTATATATCAATTTTTCAAATATATGAAAAGATTAATGGAAAAAAGTTATATTATTATAAAAGAGAACAACTTTATTACATTTGAAAACAAATGTACATACTAACTATAGAAAACAAATCTTAATCAAATCATAACTTATCTTTTTTTTTTTAAATCATGAAAATAAAACAATTTTAAGGGAAACATGGAGTTACAGATCAAAATATTGAATAATAATGAGAAAAAGTTTACTATTAATTCAAACATTTGTATATATTAAAAGAATTATAAGCACTGATTTACTATCTCTTTTAAAAATAATAACCTTTTTTGGTTAAACAAAAATTTTTTATTTCATTTTTATTATGTTTTGGGAAAAATGTGCCTACCAAATTTACAACAAAAACTTGATAGAGGTGTTCGCGGTTCGGTTTAGATCGATTTTAATGTAAAATATCATCTGATTCAAAGATAAATTTACTTGCGGTCCAGTTTAATTTTTGATGATTGATTTAAAAAATCTGATCCAATTTCTTGCAGTTTGATTAGGATCAGTGTTTTGGATATCCAAATTACAAACTATAATTTATTAATATTATAAAAACACTAATAAATAATAAATTTAATATAATAATAATATATATTATATTAAAAGTTAATATTACAAAATGATAATGATCGGTTATGATTGAAACAAATGAAATGATAAAAGTTAATTGATAAAATCAAACTAATTAGTATTTTATAAAAAAAATATCATCTAATGATAAATTAACACAAATATTATAATAATAAAAAATAAATAAGTTTTAAAATATATACATGTGATTCAGATTAATTTTTGGGAAGAGGCTTTTCAGTTTTTTTGGGAAAAGGCTTTTCAGTTTTTTTGGAAAAGGCTTTTCAGTTTTTTGGGAAAAGACTTTTCAGTTTTTTGGGAAAAGGCTTTTCAGTTTTTTTGGGAAAAGACTTTTCAGTTTTTTGGGAAAAGGTTTTTGGGAACAAAAAAGTTTTTTTTTCTTCGGAACAAAAAGGCTTTTCAGTTTTAAAAAAGGGTCTTACTAAAAAAAGGTTTTAATAATAAATAAAAAAAAGGGTTTTGATTTTAAAAAAAAGGTTTTGTTAAAAAAGGGTTTCGATATTAAAATCTACAGACCTAAACACACATGGAGATTAACATGGCAAAATATGCACATAAACATGAAAAAGCAAAAGGTTTAGTAATTTAACGGACCTAAACACATTAACATGGCAAAATATGCACATAAACATGAAAAGGCAAAAGATTTAGTAATTTAACCTACGAAGTGGAGGTTTGCTTCGGTAAATGTGAAAAAGGTTTGAATAAGGGAACACTGGAGAGCTCCAATCCTTCTGACGAGTTGTGGGAACGACCGCCTTTCTTCTCTAGGGATCTCCTTTGTTTTTCCCTTTCTCTCTCCTCTTTTCTGAAGAAAACCTTCTGACCCCTTTTTCAACAAAGCAACACATGTATATATATGGAACAAATTAGGGTTAACACCAAATTGTCAATAATGTCCCTAAAGCCCATTTTAAAGCCCAAACTAAATAATTAGTTAAGAAAAAAAATAAAATTTAAATAATTTAAAATAATTAAAATAAACTTAAAATAAAAACTAATAATCCTATTGATTCCTAAAATCAAAAATATTATAAAAAGAACAAAATTTTTTTCAATATTTTTTATTTTATGATTTTTTGGATATTTTTATGAATAATTTAGAAAAAAGTGAAAAAAATAATATTTTAAAAAATGATTTAATTAAAATACGAAAATAATAATTAAATAATAATAAAAAACTATTTTTGTTATTTTTTAATGAAAGATAGAAAAATTTAGAGTAAAAATAATAAAAAACAAAAAAGTGACAAAGGTGAGATTCAAACTCTCAACCTCTCACACTCACAACTCCTTATACATGTCCTTTTGCCAATTGTGCCATTTTTACTTTTTAGAAAAAAAATGCATGCCATATGATATTTACCTGCAAAAAGTCAAACGACTACACAAATTTGTTAGTAATTGATTAAATGCAATAAAAATACAATGAAGTGCGACGACAAATCTTAGGGCAAAATTTGGGGTATTACAGTTGCCCCTATTTAAATAACTTCACCGGGTGATTTGAGCAACGGAGACTCGAGAAATCATGGTGGAGGGATTTAAATACAGATAACCGAAAATTTTGCCTTTAGACGCAGTGTTATGCAATGATATGGACAAAACAAAACGAACTATAATGCTAAATATGATATGAATCTGATATGATGCGTATGATGAAAATGACAAATGCACGGATACAGACGAAACAACGTCATAGGGGACGACCCATCGAGGAATTGCACTAGGGAAGAAGACATGTCATATCTAGAAGAACGTCGGATAGACACGACACAGAATTGTTGATAGGTGCCAAGTAAATTAGAAATTGTCCGCAAGGTAAGACGCGGGTAAAACACGAGCTCAGGAGAAAAACGCAAATGAGGATAAAACACCCATGATGCCAAATAAATAAATTTTGCCCACAAGGTAAGACGCGAGTAAAACACGACCTCAGGGAGAAAAAAAAAGCAAATGGGGGTAAAACACCATGGTGTTAGGTAAACCCAGGAATATCTGGTAAACGGGGAATAAAACACCCGAGATAAAAGGTACATGGGGGATAAAACACCCAAGGATAGAAGGTGAATGGGGAGTAAAGCACCCAAGATAGAAATGTAAATGGGGAGTAAAGCACCCAGGATAGAAATGTAAATGGGGAATAAAGCACCCAGGATAGAAATGTAAATGGGGAGTAAAGCACCCAAGATAGAAATGTAAATGGGGAGTAAAGCACCCAAGATAAAAATGTAAATGGGGAGTAAAGCACCCAAGATAAAAATGTAAATGGGGAGTAAAGCACCCAAGATAAAAATGTAAATGGGGAGTAAAGCACCCAAGCTAGAAATGTAAATGGGGAGTAAAGCACCCAATCTAGAAATGTAAATGGGGAGTAAAGCACCCAAGATAGAAATGTAAATGCAGACGTCGACGACAAGGCTCGACTCTTTCGGTGAGATGACAAAACTGGAGGACTGATTCCTCAACACGGAGATCATTGTCATTCTGTTAAATTGTATCAAGTTGATAGTCACTGTAGGAATGATGAATAACTGCTTGGGGATTATGCAAGTAAACTGCCCCAGGTCAAATGAATTGATAATTGCTTCAGCTGTCTGATTCGTGGAATCGACTGTTTTGCTGTATCCTCGGAGGGCTTGCCCCAGTCTGAGTCTTGAACAATTCTATGGATAAACCAAATCTGAGAAGATATTGCCTTGAACAAATCTTGAACTAATTCTTTGACAAGATGTAAAAGGAACTTGCCCCTGATAAGATCACTTGACCAAGTTTCTCATTGTTTGAAAATTCCTTAGAGGAAAGCCAATTTGCAAACAAAAATATTCATACAAACATGGTAATGCAAAGTTCATG